TGCCAAAGATAGTAGTATCTTTTATTTAGCACGGTAATTTATGTAATATTGATTAATTATTTAGATAGGAGATTAGTTATTTAATAATTAAAAATAAATAAATATATGTGTTACGTACAAATTTTATAATTAGGATAAAGGCTCAAGATAGGATGCAATATGGATCCGTCGTTGGGCCTACCAAAGTGTTTAAAGGGGTTTTTTCAGGATAGTTTGTTGAAACAGCTGGCCGTCTAAGAAAATAAGGAATCCAGAGCCCGTCAGTTGGTTCTCAGTTCGGTTGGTTTGGCGTCGGTTGGTTCACAATCAGTTGATTCTCAGTCGGTTGGTTCACCATCGGTTGGTTTTCAGTCGGTTGGTTCGCCATCGGTTGGTCCGTGGTCGGGTGGTTCGCCGTCGGGTGATTCGCCGTTGGTCGGTTCGCCGTTGTTTGGTGTGTTTTCAGTTGGTCTGTGATATGTGGGTTCGCGGTCGGTTGGTCCGTAGTCGGGTGGTCCGTGGTTGGACCAAGTGTGGTCTGTTGAGCCAGCCAATTTGATGATGAGTTCGGACCAAGCGGAGGAGGAGATCAGCTGATGCGAAAATCGGTTGGTACGGAGGTCGGACCAAGTGAGGTCGGGTGAAGAAGAATGAGACAGACGATACGAGGTCAGACAAGAGACCAGATGGTGGTCGCTCTGTGGGGCGGCCAATGAGTCGTTTGGTCGAGCGATCAGTTAGCCTCGGGATTGGTCAGTTGGGTTATGCGGTTGGCGAGACGGTTAAAGACATGTGTCATTGAAGAAGAAGTTAGTAGGCGGTTGAGAGCAATTGTTGTAACCGTCTGGCCGACGGTTCTGAAACGTTTTTTTGAAGGAATACTTAAGGATTTGGGTAAAAAACTGGTAAGGTATCTTCAATCATCTTCAAACGACATCAAAGTCAGTGATTCGGGGATCATCCTTTAATTTTCAGTCTGTAGCATTTATTTTCCAGTTTATTTATGTATCCTATAGTGTTTAGAGATTTCTAATTTCAGGCACTAATTATATCAAATTCGGAGATAATTTTCTATTTTCGGATTTTACTTTTAATTGTTGAAAAATTTCTTCAACAAATTGCCAACCACAGTGGGAGCACACAACTTTCAACCGAACAAATATGGGGAAGACCCCTCTAACTTTCCCAGATAATGTTCCTTTGGGACCGAGGGTTGATAATACCCAACTGAATGAGAGGTTGGGGGGACAGGCTCATAATCCCATCCCAGCCGAGCCAGCCTTCTCTAGGGAAGATTCTGTTCCACCCAGGGTAGATCTGGAGGATATCGCTCAAGTTTTGCGGGTGCATTTCGGAATGAACCCGCAAACGGTGAACCGACCGGCGTATCAAATGCCATTTGCAAACAAAATCATCAATGAGTATCCTCTCCCGAGGAATTATCGACCGTCAGACTTTCATGTTTTCTCAGGAGAAAACGAATCCTCCACCATAGAGCATGTGGGTCGGTTCACAGCACAGTTAGGAGAGGTCGGTAATAACCCTTTTTATAAACTGCAACTATTTGGTTTGTCTCTTACCAGAACAGTTTTTTCGTGGTTTGTCAATCTACCACCTGAAAAAATACAAACCTGGGAAGATTTGGAAGCGGCCTTTCATGCAAGGTTCTTTAATCCTCTTCCAACAGTCTCACTCACAGACCTTCTGGAGATCAGGCAAATGCCGGAGGAGACCGCCTACCAATTCATAGAGCCGATGCGATTAATAAAGGGACGTTGCCCGACAATCATTGAGGAGAGCGAGATGACCAATTTGGTGGTCCGAAATATGCATACACAACTGCGGGAGGCTTTAACGGCCCACGACGTTCAAGATCTGGCCAGTTTAACATCCAAGGCAGGGAGGTTAGAATCCTTTTTCAGAGAAAACGATCACGACTTCTGTCAGGGGGGAGGTGCTGAAGAAATGGCAGTGCAAGATCGACCAACGCGCAAGCTAGCACCAGTCCGCGATAAATGGAGGTCGGGTCCAACGTAGCCTCGAATGATGGAGGTCGGATCTGAGACTGACGTTGCCTCGGATGACGGCCTGCTAACTCCTAAACATCATGAGAAATGACGCTTAAGAGTCTTGCGGATGAGACAAGTTGTTACGCACAAATAATAATAATAATAATAATGATAATAATAATAATAATGGTAGCAGGATCTTAAAGGAAGTTAGGACACGAAGTCGGGCGGAAAAGGAGAAAATATGCACTCAGGTCGGTTGGTCCGCCGTCGGTTGATCCGGTCGGTTGGTCCGCAGTCGGATAAGCAAGTCGGAAGGTCCGCGGTCGGACAAGTGGGTCGAAAGGTCCGTGGTCGGACAGGCAGGTCGGTTGGTCCTCGGTCAGATAGGCAGGTCAGAAAGTCCGTGGTCGGATAGGCAGGTCGGATGGTCTGCAGTCAGATCGGATGATTTGCAATCGGTTGGTTCGCAGTCGGTTGGTCCGCCATCGGTTGAGTCGGCCAATACGGAGTTTGGACCAAGCGAAGAAGGTCTGTTAATTGGTCGCCTAATTAAGTGAACAAAATAGTTCAGTCGCTTGGTTGGGGCGACCATTGAATCGTCCGGAAAGACCAGAGGGTGGTCGCTTGATGGGACGACCAAGGAGTCGTTTGGTCTAGCGACCAATTAGTCTCTGGATTGGTCGGTTGGGTTATGCGGTTGGCGAGACGGTTGCCGTAACCGACCAGACGACGTTTCAAAACGTTTCGTTGTGGGCAGTTGATGGCGGTTGCTGGCGACGGTTCCAAAACATCTCTTCTGAGGAATATTGAAGAATTGGGGTCAGCAACTGGCAGAATATCTTCAATCGACGTCAAATTCAAGAGAATTGCTTTTGGAAATCACCACTTTACCTTTCAGTCTGTAGTTTTTATTTCCTAGTTTATTTATGTATCTTATAGTGTTTAGAGATTCTTAATCTCATGCACTAATTATATCAAATTCGAAAATAATTTCTTATTTTCGGATTTTACTTTTTTATTGTTGAAAAATTGCATCAACAATATGTTTAAATTTTAATATTATATCCCAATAAAATATATATAATATGATTATCGTTTTGTAGTGAATAAAATTTTATATAGTATATAAATTTTATTTATTTATCATTATCATAAATTAATTTTATAGAATAATTGGAAGTTTTAAAAGTAAATAAAAGTATTTTTTTTTAATTGAGTAGAGATATAAAAATGAAAGAGTTTTGAATGAATCCTATGTATAAAATGTTAGAAATTTAATTAAATTAATTTATATTTGTTAAGTGTGTTTAATATTTATAAATCTACTAAAAATGAAAAGAAATCATCTTTTGTGGGACAGACAAAAGAAAAATAAAGTCATTTATGATCCGATGGTGGGAGTATAATTAAAAAATAAATAAATTTAAAAATAAATTTATCTTTTTATCTTTATATTATATTATTAACTATAAATACTATACTTAGATCCATTTGTAAAAAATAAATTGGTACATATACCTTTGACGGAAGAGTATAATTTTATTTGGTTTTCATTTGATGTCAAAGTGATTGTTTAAATTTGATTTAATAATATTTTAATTTCATATTTTATAAATATAAATATTATATTTTTATTAAAAATCATATGAAGCACTAGTAACAAAAATTATTTGAAATAAAAAACACATATTAATGATGATGCAATAAATCATCATAATAAAACTAAGGTGGAATTAAAGTTATGTAATGGTATTTTATAATTTTTATTAACAAATATATTGAATTGATAGTGTATTTTAATCATAATAATATAATTGTTATTATGTATTGAAGTATAGATAATATAAAGTGTGAAAAATATGATGGTTGTAATCATCTTAAAATTATAAATTTGACAAAGAAATTTAAATGAAAATTAACATAAATTTTAGGGTGAAGTATTTATTAAAGATATTTAACTTATCTCAAATATAAATATAATGTGTACCATTATGCTTCACAACGAATGAAAATATGTGGAATCGAGATGAGTTTTTTTTTTTTTTTTTTTTTTTAAAAAAAGTGTATGTTTTTGTGTTATAATATAAAGTAAAATGTTTTCTACTAAAATTTTATATTGTAATACATTTTAATATAATATATTACCAATAGTCATCGAGGAAATTTCAAAATTAAAAGTAAAAAAGAGCAAGAAAAAAAAAACACAAATGACTAAGGGGAAAAAAATGAAAGTAACACATTGAACTGCAAAATTATTTAATATCTATATATGTATATGTGCTAATTATTTGTTAAATAAAAATCAATAAGAATAGTCAAAATGGTCATCTGTGATTCTTGTTTGTTAATATATTATTACAGACATTATTATTTAATTGATCGATTCTACGTGGCTAAAATAAATAAAAATGTTAATAAACAACGGGCTTAAAAGATTTTGTTGACCATAATTTCACATCTCAATCAATTATATTTAAATATAAATTAATTATTCCCATGGCTCTAGAAACAATGACTAATTTTATTATTTAACACATACAAATATAAATATTTAATCAACACACATTAAAAGTCAAATTAAATAAATACAAATACCTTTCAGGACAGAACATCCATCACATGTATCCAACTTAATTTTGTGAAATTCAAAAAATTAAAATAAATAGGACAAGATTAAAGAAATCTCGAGACCCAAGTCAACCTAACATGTTGCTGTCTTCTGATAATTCTTTTGACTTTGTGAAGCATACAAACATTATCTTATCTATTTGTTTAATTATTTAGATTTATTATTTTTCAAAATAAAATTTTCACATTGCATTATTGCGTTACTTTTTATTGTTATTTGAAAAATAAAATAAAATACGTTGAAGATGTTGTTCGGACCTAAGGAATATTTGTGCAGATCAAAATCAATGTCCCTTGTTATATTATTATTATTTATTTATTTATTTAATTGTGTGGTGTGGTATGTAAATTATATTTTTATTTACAGAGATTAAAATAAAATAATAAAAAAGATTGACCGTTGATTAATCAGAGATCTCATCGCATCGCTACAAGGATGGAAAAAGGAAAGCGAAGTTCCATACATGCCCCTAGATTTTACAGTTATTCCCATTTTACCCTCCGTTCATATCCAGTCCAGCTTACGTTGCTTTCCATGACTCCAGAGTAGGGAAGATACAAAACGAGTCGACGTACGGCTCCGGCGCGGCGACTCCGCCGCCGTCTCCAGACAGCTGCGAAACCGATCCGTCCGTCAGAAACGCCGACGACGTGTCGAGCGTCGCCAATCCGCCGAGCGGATTCACCGCGACCGGATTCCACGCAGCGGCGGCGGCGACAGCCTCGCCGGCGCCGCCGCCGAAATTCCCACCGGTGACCTGCTGCACCATCTGCATAAAATTCGCCGGATCGGCGGAGAGAAAAGTCGTCTTCGCGGATTTCTTCTTCGCGCGCGACTTGCGCTTCGAGACCTTACCGGTCGGCGGCGGGACGACGGCGCCGCTCCGCCGGCGTTGCTTCGACGCGGCGGAGACAACCGCAGCTTCCTTCTCCGATCCGACGTCGGAAGCCGACGGCGTCTGGGTCTGAAACGACGTCGCATCAGGCTTCGCAAAAATACACTCCAACAATTCGTCCGATAAGACGTAAGACGATCCGTAGGAGGAATCGCTGGCGACGCCGCCGTAAAACGACGACGTCGTCAGAGCTCCGTCGCTGAAAATCTCCGGTCGGATCATCCACGGCTGCTCCACCGCCATAAAATTATCGAAGGACGCCATTAATGATCAGTTTGCTTGAAATCGGAGAGCTAGCATTCAAACGCAGAAAGCGTGAATCCAACTAGAAGAGTAGTCGTGGTTGAGTGCAGAGCGATTTTTGAAATGGCGCTGAAAATGGAGTGAGCTACGGCAGCTGAAGAAGTCGTCTAATAAATAGGGCGGTGAAGATATATGGTTCGAAACCGCGTTGGCAGCTGACATGCACGCACCCGAATTAACTATAATTAAATTATACTATTATTCAGATTTAATCTTAAATCAAATCATTAAATTCAATAATTAATAATAGTCTTAGCTAGCCACCTATAATCATAATCAAAATCATAATCAAAATCAAATGTTAGTAATAAAAATAATAATCATAATAATGAATTATACCAAATCACAATCAATGGGGAATATCTTAAAATGCATTATTTAGACGAGTATAAATAAAAACATATGTACATATTATTTATTAAAAATGTATTGCTAGAACTATGGGTGAGTGTGGTTTCGTACGTGGTTTTATTTTAATAGTAATTGGATTTAATACCTTCTTTTTAAAAAAAAAAAAAAAAAATGAGTAGTATATTTTTGTAAAATATTGTTATAACATATAATAAAGAAGTTCAAATATACTGTATACACTAATATATTTTTATTTATTTATTTTTAAATAAATATTGTTTATTTGACAGTCAATTTAAATATTAGCTACTATTATAAATTAAGTAAAATGTTCCAACACATTTATTACTACTATTAGCTACTATTATAAATTAAGTTTCTACCCCCATTTTTTTTTTCCCTATCATCTAAAAAAAATTCAAAAGTATACACCATATTAAAATTCGTATCCAAAAGTTTGAGCATATTTTTAGCTGACGGATGAAGTATTATCCCACATAATTTATTCATATTTTTTATTTTGAGTTTCACATCATTTGTCCATGTTCATTTTTTAAAAAATAATTATATATTTTAATTATATATTTTTTTAATTTTAATTAAATTAATTAATTATTTTAATTTTAACTTATAATTATTTATTTTATATAATAATTATATCATTCCATATATTTTCCTCTCTACAAAAAAAAATCAGACAAATGACATGAAATGGGAGGAGTAATATTCAACATACACTATTGGTTTATATCTTTAAATTCCCATTACTCTAAAGATTGGGTTGGTTTTATTTGAATTTAATTTAAATGGTATTTTGATATTATATTTTTAAAATAAAATAATGCTATATTTTTAAATAATTATTCGATTATTATAATTATTAAAATAATACTAAAAGGTGCTCCGTCCAGTGAAGGGGTGGGGGCACAGCTCAGTGTGGACCCAATGGGATCAGATGATGTCGGATCCGGGTCGTCTTGCTCCATCTTATTTTTTACCCATTTATTGATACTGATGTAGATATCCGTGTGGGTCCTCCTTATTTTAGGCGTATTTTCAATTATTATTTCCTGTTTAAAATTTTAATTTATTTTAATATATGAAAGTAATACAGTACTTAAACTTGAATAAGTTTATTTATAATATTTTATTATAAATCATACAATACAAAAAAGTAACTGACATGTTCATTACTTTTTTTGTTACTATTATTCACAAATCAGCATTGAATCTCCACATAAGTGATAAGTGGTATGAACTACTCCCGACTTCCTTCAAATATGTGCTCATATAATCGAAAACAAAATTTAAAAAAATAAATAAAAATAATTTTTTTTATTTTATTGGGTAAAAAAATTATTTTGTTACTAAAAATAAAATGAAAATAAATTTAGATAATAATAAAAAAAGAAAAGTGATAATAGATTTGAATGACAATGTGAGTATTTTATTTGTTTAATGCCAAGGTATATACTTTGTTTGCCCTACTTGAAAAGAGGTCTTTTGAAATTTTATAATAGATTTAAAAATAATAATATTTTATTAGTTATTATTGATAGTGTGTAAAAGGTTTTAATATTTTTGTTATTTGATTTTACGTAAAAATAATTGTATGTCTAATGATATGTTTGTAATTTAAATAAAAATTAAAGGTATTTTAGTATCAGTGTATGGTTACATTTAATTATTTTTAATCATATACTATATTTGTCCCTTCACAATTTATTCATTTTTCTATTTTGGTCCGTCTCATAACAATGAATCAATTTCCTTTTTAAGTAACTGTCATGTTTACCTAATATTATAAATATCATTCCAATTTACAATATATTACACAAATGTCATTACTTTAATCATACAATACTAATAAGGGTAGTTTAGTCTTTTTACCTTTATTTCTAATATAATATTAATATTTCTAAAACTCCGTACAAAAAATAAACGGATAGATAGATATAAAATAGAGAGAGTATATTTTAATACTTATTTTAAAATTACCAACAACCCCACTCATATAAAAAATAAAAAATAATAAAATAATATCATAACTTATTATTATTATTAATAAATTAAATCTTGTGACTTTAAATATCATATCACTAATCAAATGGATCATTTTTTTTCTTTTTTTTTTTTAACCAAGAGAGTATTATGCAATATAATAATTTTTTCTGAAAGAAAAAAACTTTCAGCATATTTTTTCAATAGTTAAAATGTAATTGTGATTGAATAGAAAAAATGATATGATTTTAGATACTTACTGTTAAAATATGTAAAAAAATTATGAGTAAGTAATCATATTAAATCACATATGAATAAATAAATCTATTTTTTTACGATAATAAATTGAACAAAGAATATATATGATATCATCAATGTGTAAGATGATTAAAATTAGTAAACTCACATTCTATTTTAAAAAAATTGTAAAAAATAGAATGATGAAGTCTGACTTAGCATAAATTGACTGTTTTGTTTTTATTACATTCTATTTGAGAAAAATAAATAAAAAAGAAAAGAATTGATGGTATGTGTTTTGTCTTCTACACAAAGGTTTGTAACTGAATTTGGTTCCATGAAATATTGCTTTTTATTTTATACAGTCAAAGTTGGTTATGTTTGACATAATTTAGGTGATTAATTCCCTCACCAAAACTAATTTATTTTTCCTTAAATTAATTAATCATTAGTAAACCACATTAGAATACTAATCCAGTATTCTTTTGCTTTGTTTTTTTTTTTTTCTCAACAAAAAAATATTAAATTAAATACTTATTTTTAGTAAAAGATATTTCATACAACCACTATTTTATTTTTAAAATATGAATAATTAAAAATACAAAATCAAAACAAAAACATAAACAAAAACAAATTCGAATTTGCATAGAAATTGTAATACTAAAATTTCAAAACGGAGGTTAAACAAATAATTTTTTTTTAAATAAAATTTTTTATTATTCATTTTTGTGTCATTTTTAATAAAAATATATTATTTTTTTACAAAATATCATATTAAAATCAAATCAAAGGAACCCAATAAATTATATAATAGAAATAGAATTTGGTGGAATTGATCAATAAATTGATGGTGTGTTATAATGTTTTGATTACTTTGATTTTGATTTCAGTGTTCTTTTTTTTTTTTTTTTTTGCGCAAATTTTTATAATTCATTATATAAATACACTACTGTTTTTTTCTTAGAAAATATTCTTCGTTCACTCAACATTTTTGGATAGATTGATTTATTGTGTAAGGTATGAAAAATTGTTTAAAAAATATAAAATATATTATTTTAAAGTAAATATTTGACTTTTGATTTTTATTTTTGTGATAAATAATTGACTTTTTTTAACTTTTTAATTTTTGTTAAAAATATTTTGTGTTTTTATTATTATTATTAGGGAATTGTAATTTAAAGATTGTTTTGGATGAACACATTCATTAAATTCAAATAACTTTTTAAAAATAAATTTCAAAACCATAGGGTTTGTTTGTTTTTGGTTTCAAACGAATTTCTTCGCCTTTGAATTGAAAAGATTAAATTTAAAATTTAGATTTAAATAATTTTAATTTGCTATTTTATAATATATATATATATATATTTTAAGAAGACACCCGTTCTTATAGTAAATCTTTTATTAAAAAAATGTGCCAAATAAACACCTCTACTCTACTATTCAGACTACCAAAAACACATTATTTATTTTTTATAATATTATATAAATAAAAATTAGAAATAATAACAAATGAAGGTATAGTCTAGTAGAGAAATCCTCGATCTCTTGATCATAAATCAGGAATTCTTTTCTCATCATGCATGTTTTTTCTTCACCCTTCTCCTCCTTCGTATTCGTAGCGTATGCTTTCATAACCTCTGCTAATTTCGAGAAAAGAAATTAAATAATACTCTCTCCGTCTCGATTACGGTGGACATAAAAATTTAGAATGAATATAATTAGTAAATAATTTAAAATGTATTAGTGAAAATAATTATTATATAATAAAAATAATTTTATATTAAGATTAAGATAACAAATTACTTTAATTAAAATTTAAAAAGAAATTAAAGTGTATAATTATTTTCTAAAAAAAGTGACAAAATAAATGAGACAGGTGAATGACAAAGTGTACGCGATAAGTGGGACAGGGGGAGTAATAATATCTCAAACCAAAACTAAACATAACAAACCCCAAACCCCAAGTTCCAAGTAAACTCTTTTGTGTTTAGTGTATTTTGGATTTGAATTTTTAACACAATAGGATGAAAAGGGAAGGGTTACGGTACTAAATTTGAAAAATCAGCACTATGCTAATTTTCTAAATCAGCACATGTAAAATATAGAAACAATACATGTCATTATTATATACCACAATTACGTTGTATGTGGTGTGTGGGAACATATTATGTGTGGTTAGTTTATGTATTGTATTTGTATTATATTATCACATGTTGTGTGTTATATGTAGTTATACGGTGTACTGTTCAATACAAAGATGAATTTAAAATTCAGCACTGTAACCACCGTCGGATGATAAATATGTATCAAGATAAAATACATCTTATAAGATTAAACAAAATACTATTTTACACATTTATAATTGTATACTATAAAAGAAAATAGCACATCCTAATTTTTCGGTTAAAATCTCTTTTATTATTATTATTATTATTATTATGCTAATTTTGTTGGTAATTCAACGTACATTGTAATCTTTTACTTTTGATTGAATAAAAAAAATAATTAAATAAGGATGACCTCATGCAATTAAGACTCTTATGCAAATTAGTATGTTGGAAATAAAAATTCAGCAGTATTTAATAATATGGGTCAATAT